TAGTTAAAATAGGAACTGTGTGAGTGGGGTATTTTTTTAAAGAAAGGAACGAGGTACTCGCACCAGATAGCTGCCACAGGACACCTGAATGTTTCAGAGAAAGAGAATTTATTGCTCATTATCAGAAGATGCTGACTTTTTCCTGCCTGGCTAAGGATGGAAGGTGCCTTAGGATTCAGAGGAAGAAGCTGACACTGCCCAGACAGAATCCTGTGTTTGAATGGAATTTATGCACCATGTATGAGGTGTATGACTATGCAACAGGCTGTTGTTTTTAGGGGTTAATCCTCTGTTACCGTGTGTCCTTTTTCGGGCTCGTGCTGCCCAGAAAAGGTACCCGGATGTCCATAACTCTTTGTTTTTATTGCCTCACATTGTCCTAATCAAAATTGTCCAAATTATTATTACTCTAATTCTATTACTGTTTTCATAACCATTTTATTACTATTCAACTTTTAAAAATTTAAAAATAAATGATTGGTGTTTTTCACATCTGGGAAGTTGCTCACAACATCCCTGAGGAGAGCACAGCATTGAGCTCTCTGGGTTAGGGTCTGTTCTTTCAAATGTTATCATTGGCATTGTTTTTATGTTCAGCAATTTTCTGTTGAAGTCTACAGATAAGATTTCATCCCTGTTCAATTCAATGGCAGTGTTTGCATGGATTTCACAAAGTCCAGAATTTAATGATTGAATCTTTGGAGTCTTCTCCAAAGCCCTTGCAATCAGAACTAGAAACATACATAGCATGAACAGAGATGAACAAAGTGGCCAGGGCTCTGATTCTGTTCTGCTTCATCCTCTGGATGGCTTTTCTTCAAGGAAGTGACTGCAATTTTTATTGCCATGTAGTAGTTACAAGTACTAACATGTTTTCTAGAATTTTTTTTTTAATACTGAAAGAAATGTTTTCCAAAGACACATATTCAGTAATTTAAAAGTACCATTCTACATGCTCCCATATGAACAAATACTGCTAAATTAAAAAAAAATATATTACATAATACCTAGTAGTTCTTATCCCTAAAACACTTCAAATAAATGGAAATTATATTTTGTTTTCCAGTGTTTATCCATATGGGTCTGCCCCCAAATTAGAGAGACATATCTGTCAGCAGTTAAAATGAAGGGTATGAAAATGGAAGTCAGGTTCAGGCTCCAATGCTCAGAGATAACTTAGTGTGGGAGACAACAGTCTACATGTTAAGCATTGATAGGACATATCTTTCCAAGCTGAATTTTAACCCTATCTATCTGGAAATATTTTAAAATGAAGCTCCTTTTTTCTTGCAGTGCTAATTTTGTTTCTACTTGAACTCATTATTTACTCATTATTATTCTTCTTTGCATGCAGAATTGCAAATATCAGACCACACCTTCCATCTCTCGACTCCACCCATTCAAAGTAGCACAAAGAAAAATTACTTCCATCACTCACTTTGGGGTGTGAGTTGCTTATCTTAGGAAATGTGGTTGGAATTGGGAAGCATTTCTTGATTTCTGTATTTTTCGTGTTTGTGCCTTGAAGCCTTAATTTGAAAACTTATGTCTTTCAGCATTTAGATACCTAAGGAAATTTTAAATTTTGTTTCATCTTTCTTAAATCAGCCTCCCCTCTCTTGAGCCTTCCATATTGCCCATCCCACCACAAGGTGGCAGGAGGCTGACAGAAATGCGCCGGTGACTCGCGATGATAATTAGGTGTGGTTTAAAAACCAAACTGGAAATATGAGTTTGAAAACACGGGCTCTTTGGTTTTTTTGGGGTTTTTTAAAGGTCTGTTCTAATCCAACCTACCATAGATGTCCAGGCGGGCAGTGCAGGAGACGATGCCAGCTTCGTTCTTTGCAGACAAGGTGTACCAGCCAGCGTCTGCTTTCTTGGCAGGCTGGATCAGGAGGCACACATACCCTGTTGTGTCTTGGTGCATGCTGGAAAACAAGTGTTTGGGAATTAGTATTTCTCACGAGCACGTCAGCTTTCAGATTTTAAAATATGTTTCATATTGAATATGAAAGAGGTACATTGTCATCTCTGCTCCCAAAGAGGCAGCGGTCTACAGTCAATAGATTTGCTTTCAGTATGGCCTCAAACAATGATCAGGAAATCTCAGACCTGTTCTGGCTCCTCTCAGCTGTGCACAGCCATGGTGTGACTGTGGCAGCTGAGTTGTTTCTCTGTATATGTTAATATCAGCATTATTTATTGAATACTCATGAGCTAAACCTGTGCAAAGCTGCTGCACAATCATACTGTATTTTTCCTAGGTCAGAAGCTGGAACAAGAACATAAAATACCAAGAGCTCTTGTACAAAGTTCTGATATTTTTCACTACAGCAGCCAGAGCCGGTCACAAACTTTCTTGGGGCACCCTTTCCATGAGAAAATGACCAAGTGGGAAAATCAGAAAGATTTGTTTGGCTGACACTCTGAAAGAAACCTGCTTCATTGTTCACTTCCTTTGCTCTCCAGTGATCTAAGGCTTGGTGGCTGCAATTTCCAGGAAAAACTTTCCAGCAGGATGTAACAGAACTGAGACTCCTCTGCTCTCTAGGCTGAGCCTGGTCCTTTTTATCAAGCCAAGTGTTTCTCTCATTATAAAGGAAGAGGAGTGAGATGAGCACTTCAGAACACTTGAAATTCCAGGATGTTCTGAAATTTGAGATTTTGTTTCTGTATGAACTGGAATGAAACCACGGGCTTGCAGGACAAGAGTACACTTTGTGCTCTAATAAAAAAGGGAACATTTCACCCTTTGTTCCCTGCATCCACAGTTTGCCTTGTGCTGGGGTGCAGGAGCTGCTGTGTGTCCCTGTTGTGCTACAGAAGCCTCTCTTGGCTTCGGGCAGGAATCAGTGAGGTGGGAGAGGGACAGGAGGGGCGATGCTGCCCTGGGTCTGTGCACAGCCAGTGGAGTCTTTGGGGTTTCTGCTTTTGGGATAGCAGGGCTGTCACAGCCTTTATCCTTGCTCCTGTGGGCTGGGAAGGTTTCCCTTAGCCATTGCTCTGCTCAGCTGAAGCAAAATTTGTTTTCTAACATTTTGTGAAACAACTGGAACTGTGGCACTTTAGGAGAGTTGTTGATTTTCCAGTGACTACAATGTGTGTGTGTGTGTAGGACCACAATCCCTGTGAAAGGGGAACATCTTTATGGTGTAATCCATGAATTTGCTAATGGCAGACTCAATTCCCTCCTCCAGATTATAAAGTTATTAATATTAAACAGGACTGGGCCCAAACCATAGAGCCTGTAGGCTGCAGAAGGTCAGGGTTAGGTGGGGATTTTGGAGAGTCTCTGGGTGGTGACCATAAAAGAGTTTTCTAAGAATGCTTTCCTTGTGCTTGATGTCCATCCCTGAGCAGCTTGCTGCACTCACAGCCTGTGTGGGAAGGGATGGGGACTTCTTGAAGCTGATCTCAGAGATCCAGTGACTGCAGCAAGTTGTTACTTGGAACAAAGTGAAATAAAATTCTAAAATCAGATAGATGCTGAAGTAGAAATATTAAAAAAAGAAAGCACTTCACTTATCATTAATTACAGCCAGGCACATTGGCACAAGCAGTTGGTCCAGGCACAGGAAATTCAGGCATGGTGTCACAGTACCTCATCCTCTCTCTGTTGGATGGGATGGTCTCATTGTCCTTCTTCCAGTAGAATACGGGAGGTGGCATTCCCACAACTCTGCACTCCAATCTGACAGGGTAACCTTCTGGAACTCCACAGTTCTGAAGCTTCTCCAGAAACATGGGGGCTCTCTTGACTTCCTTTGCTGCAAAGAGAATTATTCAACAACAGGTATTTCATTCTTTGTTTCTCTTTGAACAGTATCGGAGAGCACGATTAAAAGTTATTCTTGTGATAGCAAAATAGGTTGTGAATTTGTAGTGGGATGTTGGAAGGGAAGTGAAATGCCATGATACAGCTTTTATAAAGTAAATAATAGGCAGAACTGATGTTCATAAAAGAATATATGCATGTCTAATGAGTCTAAACATATTACCATTGCAGAAAATGAATGCCAGATCTATAAATTTCAATATCTCACATATTTTAAGGCTTTATTAAAGAGCAATATTCAGATTATTTTTTTTCTATTTAAAAACATTTTTAAACCAATAAAATTCTGGCTGAAAACTGGAATACCTCAACATATATATTATGAATTCAAACCCTAAGCATTTTCTGGGGAGAAAGTGAGGATGGGTGATAATGAGGCAGAACTCTTTTGGCACTCTCTTAGTTACAGGTACAGGTAACAGCACCAGGTGCATTTCTGTGATGGTGTTCACAGGGGTTCTTGGATGAGGGAAGAGACCAGGATCTGACTCCATGTTTCAGAAGGCTGATTTATTATTTTATGGTATATATTACATTAAAACTATACTAAAAGAGTAGAAGAAAAGGTTTCATCAGAAGGCTGGCTAAGAATAGAAAAAGAAAGAATGATAACAAAGGTTTGTGGCTCAGCTCTCTGTCCAAGCCAGTTGGGCTGTGATTGGCCATTAATTACAAACATCCAACATGGGCCAATCCCAGATCCACCTGTTCCATTCCACAGGAGCAGATAATGTTCACATTTTGTTCCTGAGGCCTCTCAGCTTCTGAGGAGGAAAAACCATAAGGAAAGGATTTTCCATAAAAGATGTCTGTGACACATTTCCTTCATCAGCTGGGGAGGGAAATATATAGGTAAAAATTACATGTCTGTGTCTACAGCTGTGGGATTTACCTACTCTTAGTGCATTAACTATTTATTAACTATCAACTATAATTGTCTGTAGGGAACTATGTAAGGTGAGTTTGAAGAAATGCGTGCAGATAACGCCATTACGGAGGTGAGTTTTCCAGCGCTCCTTACCTACAACGGTGAGCTCCAGGCTGAATGAATTCTGTCCTGTCCTGTTGGTGGCCAGGCAGGTGTAGGTGCCAGCATCACTCAGGGCCAGGGGGTCGATGAGCAGGGAGTGCACCCCTGTCTCTCGGACCAGCATCTTGTGCCTGCTGTCGGGGAGCACAGCTTTGCCGTTCAGCAGCCACGTCAGCTCCGGCGTGGGCAGCCCGCTCACCTGGGACACAGGGAACACCTCCAGGCTGGGTGCCACTGGCACACAGCTGGGGAAATCACAGCCAGCCCTTCCTGCAAATGCCACCTCAGTCGTGCCAAAATCTACACCAGAAATTCATTTTTTAAAATTATTTCT